AATTTCTGCCTCATTAAAAACCGCAGCACAGAGAGGAGGGGAGGGTGGGGGGAGCCCTCTGCAAACAGCAGTCTCAGGAATGCGTCCGTTTTCTTTTCTGGAGATAGAGGCATTTAAAGGGCCTCTTCTGTGCGCGCTCAGCCTCCCCCGCTCCGGCAGCACTGAATGCAGGGATTGTGCTTTGCTGTGTCAAACGCCTTTCCCTTCACCTAAAAACGTAGGTGAAGTGCACAGACACGCTCACCTGCCCTGCACTGTCGGTTGCTGCCATGGCAATGGGACGCATTAGCGGCATAAAGAGCGGGGATAAAGGAGCTCTTCATTATTCCTTTCCAGACTGAGTTAAGGCTCCCAGCAGCATAGAGGCATGCTGCGCTGAGCAAAGGCACAGGCTGGAAGCTCATTTTCCCTGGGAATCGAATGTGTCGCCTCTTCACCAGCACTCCCATTACTGAAGCAGGGCTCCATTGTGGCTGTCGGATGGTGACGTCAGCTCAGTGCATTCAATGTGGCGCTGGTTTTGTAGATGAATCCTTACCGAGGCTTAGTCAGAACATGCCTGTGTAGTCTGTTACCGTATTTTGGGTCACCAACCCCGCAGAGGCTTTCCTTGTTTCTGACTGGTTTCAGTCCCATTCAAGCTGTGAGCTAAAATGTGGTCTTTTGCCCCAGACTTTTAGCTTCTGTTCCTCCACCCAGGAAAGTCACAACCCTTACACATAACGTAGGGTGCTGGGGATAGCTGGTCTGTTAAAGAGGCTTTGTGATCTGGAGCTCTGTATTGACACGGGGCTTTCAGTGCTTCTCTGTACATATGCTTTGAAGGGAGCAGTTTGGTCCCCTGAGTCTTGCTGATATTTGAAAACATTTGTTCTTGTACCCCAGGAGTCCTTTGCCTGGGTTTGATTTAAAATAAGAGAAACTTGGCCCATAGAAAATTAAGAAATTAGGGACCTCAGGAGGTCACATGTAGTCCAACCCCCTGCTCAAAGCACGATCATCCCCAACTAGATCATCCCAGCTAAAGCTTTGTCTAGCCGGGTTTTGAAAATCTCACAACCTCTCTGAGTAGCTTGTTTCACTGTTTTACTACCCTCCTAGTGAGAAAATGCTTCCTAATATCTAACCTAAACTTCCCTTACTGCAACTTGAGTTCATTGCTCCTTGTTGTCATCTGCTGTCGCTGAGAACAGTCCAGCTCCATCCTCTTTTGGCGTGATTGTATCAAGACCCTTGTTTTTCACCAGGAGAGGATTCAGTTCAAATTCAAGTGACATCACCAGGGGAATAAATTAAGTCTCAGTCCTACCCTTTGGGGTCATTTGTCCACACCCAGCAAAAAGACCCCCCACACGTATGCACATATTGGCATGTTTTTTCCTGACGCATCAAAGGGTGTTGAGGAGTGTAACAGTGGAAGGGGCCTTTTGGGGCTGTCAGGTCCAATCTGCTGCATTCGTTATCCAAAGAGTCCTGAAAATTATCCACTCCAGTCATGCAGCGCAGCCACAGAGCTGAAGGAGGAGCCCAGGAAGAGTACTGAAGGTGAAGACTGAAAATCTGACATCACTGTGTGGACCCCAGGGACTGAATAGCAGGGATTACTGAAGGTCAGGATTCAGTAGCATTGCCAGATCTCTATAGGAGCTGGCAGGTTGCTGCAAGACAGGAGCATGATGTGTATTGGCAGAGCTGAGCAGGATCATAAGATGGGAATAGCAGGTGTTGCCGGTCAAGGGTGAGGTCTGTGTGCAGCGTTTTCCTGTGCTTTGGCTGCAGGGGCCTATCTAATAATTCTTTGGGGCAGCTCTGCAAGGCTCCTTTTGTAAAAGAAGTTTAAAAATATCCTAGGAAGTCTCAAAGGTGCAGTTGACAGGTGCAGACAGGCTCCTTCCTGCTGGCATGTATTCCTGCTGACATGTATGTATGGCTGCATCCTGTGTGGAATTGGACGGCCAGCAGGTACCCGGTGGCTGGAGCGGAGCCGAGCACGTCACTCGGTGACTGACCTTGTAAGCTGGGAACTGGCCCCTGCATTGATTTTGCATAATGCATGTATTGCTGCATTGTGATCAACGCCTGCCGTTTTGCCAGCAGGCATCCATTTATTGCAGCCATAAGACTTAAGATGCCCGTGCAAGCTGACTAATTGCCGCTTCATGATTAGATATAAAACGTGCATGAGGCAAAAGCAAACCCTTTGTCGCTAATGATGAGCAGAACAACTGAGGAATGACAGGGTGCCTTTGCAGATGTGCCAGTCAGCCCCTTTTAAAGTGCTTGAGAGAGAAATGCTGAAGTTAGATGCGTTGCTTGCTCAAGAAAATACAGCTTAAGGCCCTAATTCTCTATGAGAACTGCACAAGCAGGCTCCCATGCCTAGGCAGAGCCCTGTAGATTTCTATGGGACATCACATCATTGCAGAGGTCCACCCCTCCAGGAGTCTCCAGGTAGGATTATGGCCTCCTTCTGCAATATTTTCCATACAGAATGCTTCCCAAACATGCTGTAGATTTGGATTCAGTTGTAGAATTAGAGGCATGAGCACATTTAGAAAAGAGGAAAAAAGACTGATAGAGCTGAAATTTGAGATGGTTCAGTCAAGTGGGGAGATGCAAGGAGGCCATTCCAGATGGCACAGGTCCTGTTGGGAGAAGGCTTTTCCACCAGTGCCAGCCGCAGCACAAAGAGGGCTCAGGCAAAGTCATGCCAGGTGACTTGGAAGAGATGGATCCCGTGAGAGAGACCAGGGCGTTTTCCCACCGAATCAGTTCGGAAATGCGAAGTTGAGAGGCTGAAGGGAGGGTGTGCTGCTTTCACGTTTCTTTGTCTGGATGAGAGCAGGGAAGTGACACACTGTGTGTGTGTGTGTGTGTGTGTGTGTGTGTGTGTGTGTGTGTGTGTGTGTGTGTGTGTGTGTGTGTGTGTGTGACACTGGGCACATGACGCTGGGCAGCTGTGGCTTGGGATGATCACAGAGAGGGAAATTATAATGTTTAAGGTGGCAGAGTGAGAGGGACAGTGATTATGGATGCTTCCAGCTTTAAAAAAAAAAACCCAACAACCCAAGTGTTCCTTCCTGCTTATTTAAAGTGAAGGTGCTTCTTCTTTTTTTTTTTTAAAAAAAGGTCTAATTTACTTCTCACTGTTCGTGCTATTTTTTAAATATTTGAACTTCCTTCAGTAAAAAGAGCACAAACTGCCTTGGTTTCTAGTCTGTTTGACTGCCTCTCCCTCTTGAAGTCAGAACAATATATGTTCGCTGAATTAAAAAAAATCATGAAAACATTTCTTTTAACTAAATTCCATAGGTGAACTTTGTGCCTGGGCATACTGCATTTTGGAGGTAACTTCAGAGAAGAAAGGGGACAGAATTTCAGTTGGGTTGATAAATACGCAGGGTATTTTGCTTGATGCCTGCCAGTCCCAAAACAAAAATGGGTTGTGGGAGGTCCATGCAGCATAACCTAGAGCAGGGGCAGGCCATTATTTTGGGCAGAGGGCCACTTACTGAGTTTCAGCAAGCCATCGAGGGCCACATGACAGGCAGCCCAGGGCAGATTAATATTAATTTTCTACATTTTTTAGGGGCCCTGCAGGCCAAATAGAATGGCCCGGTGGGCCGCATCCGGCCCCCAGGCCACATTTTGCCCACCCTAACCTAGAGCCTCTTTTCCCATTGTCAAGAAGTTTGGCTCCCCTCTCCTGCATCCAGTGCTGAATCTCTGACAGCGTGGGAAAAGGTCTGCTGCTTTTTCTAGAAATCAGTCTATCCTAGTGGTGCTCAACTGGGTGAGTGTTGGAGGTTGGATCACTTGTTGTGGAGTCAGTGCACAGGGGTGGGCGCCACGCCACCCACATCAGACCCTGTGCTGCCTTGGCCCAACCTTCGTGCCACGATGATCAGGTCCCGTGCTACCTTGGCCCGGCCCTGTGTGCCTGTATTGGGCCCTGCTCTTTTCCAGCCCTGAGCGCTCCTGCTAGCGTGCAGGGCTATGCTGTCTCCAGCCGACAGTGCTCTCTCCATGGATCTTGAAATTTGGCAGTGGGAGAGCAGCATTTAACACTGCCACCACTCCCCACCACCACATTTTCAGATTTGGGGGAGCCCAGCAGCCCGGATAACACAAGCTCCACGGGCTAGATCTGGCCCCCAGGGATTGAGCACCCCTGTTCTAGCTACTACCAAAAGATTTGGCAAAAGTTACTGCCAGTTAGCTGTCAAGCAGCCTACTCCCAGGGTCAGTCCAACTGGAGTTACTTTGACCTTGCCTACGCATACCCAGTTTGGTAGTGGAAGTTCTGGTGGCAGATGCCACGTACCACTGCCAAGGTGTCAAAACGTGTCCACATCCATGTGCTGCTGGCAGCTCTGCTAATAAATCACAGGGTGTTTTGGGAAAGCACCGTCTGCGGAAGGAACCAGGGCAGCTGGTAGGAGGATGTGGTAGTATCTGCCTTGTGCCAGCTGCCAGAGGCATGCTTTAGCTCGGGAGAAGTGGGGGAACTGGCAGATGTGGGAAAAGGGTCTGCGCTCTCAAAGGAGCTTTCAGTGTAGGCATGCTCCAAGTTTTGCAACAGTATGTGGTAGTGCAGAGTCAGTCTTTGTTTCTTTCCAAGGAAACCCTCAGGTATGTGGTTGTTCATATGTGACCTCAGCCCTGGGTGTCAGCCTGCTTTAAGGAAGGGGACTGTTTGGACAGTCTATACAGTCGTCTGTCCTGTGAAAGCCGATCAAGTGGGAACTGGTGCCCCCGCTTGAGGTTGATGATCACAACTTCTTTCAGCCAAGGTGAGTGGGAGATTTCTGTGTTACTTGTGAACGAAGACGGGTTGCAAGGGTTTACCCAGCTCTCTGTTCCCTAAGCTAAGTATGAATAAAGGAGTCCAGTGCATCTGCTCCTTGATTTTTGTGCATGGGGATTTTGTCCACTTGTTTCTGGAAAGGCTGTAATGGGCTGGTCATCACCAATGCGTGTGTCCCTCCTTTGTGTTACAGTGATGGCCTACATGCAGTTTGTGGAAGACTACTCGGAGCCACAGCCATCCATGTTCTACCAAACGCCCCAGAACGAACACATCTACCAGCAGAAAAACAAGCACCTCATGGAAGTCTATGGCTTCAACGACTCGTTCATCAGCATAGACTCGGCCCAAGATCTGGCACCTCCCCCTGCTCTCCCACCTAAACAGCGACAGCTGGTGAGTGACACCCTAAGTACCAAGGTCTGTTAGACTCCTGGGAACAGATCTGGGGGAAAGTCAGCCTGTCTGTTGTGGCAGATCTCTGTCTGTTAATTTACCCACATTACACTCCCTGCAATCTAGTCGACATGTTTTCTGACACTTTGCATGACCCAGCTTAATCACCGTTCTACAGCACACCGATTCCAAGTGTTTCCCCACAGGCTCTGAGAAAACCAAAAACGCTCTGAAAATGAGATTTCCAGGTCTTGCAAACAACATGGTAGAAGCTGTGCTAGTGACACTCTTACTGCTTCTGTCCCTCTGGCAGTCTGAGCAAGTGTTTCCTAAGAGACAGGATGACTAAACCACGCCATAGGCTACACGCCACTATATAATTTACAGCATTGCTTTGTAACCCAGTTCCTAAAGCCATTCTCAGATACTGCTCAGGGAACTGGCTAGTAGTAACTGTTCAAACTTAGTTGCTGCTTGTAGGCTTTCGGTTGTAGCAAAGACGGCTCTAGTGCAGCCGGTAACTGCCATAAATGCATATCCTTTTCCTTGTTAAACCCCATTAGCTTGCTCATAGTGAGCTGTCTCTGTCTGCTCCAGGTCCACCAGGAACAGGAATGGACAGCCATTCCAATGCCAGCCCTGCTGTCTTGACTTACTTTAGTACCAGGCTTTTTATTTAAGTGGCTGAATCTGGTTTGTGACAGCTTGAGGTTTCTGCTGCATTGGACCAAGAATCCCCATTGCCCTTCTGGAAGTAAGAATGCACCACATGCATTGTGCCCATTCAAATCCACAGGCGTTTGGAGCATGCTTCAGAGGGCCCCAAGCATGATGAGGTCTTGACTGCCGGTTTCTACCCTCTGAATGAAATCCTGGCTCCACTGAAGTCTGCCAGTGGGAGTTTTGCTGCTGACTTCAGTGAGCCAGGATTTCATCCTATTTCTTTTCTTTTCCTCAGCTTTTTTTTAAAATCCTCTTGCTTCAGGGATTGTATTTCGTTTCAGTAAGCAAACTCATTCGAATGAAAACACCCAGCTAACTCGTGCTGCTGTGCTGTTAGCCACGGGCCTGGAGGGGCTGGGGGAGTTGCTACCAGACAAGCTTATTTTATGTCCTTTGAAATGTTACACTTGCCCCCAAGGTTGGGTGACAGAATTGTTCATGTCTGTCCCTGTTGTAGTTCTGTGCTGATTTTTGACTTTCCAGCTGTATTTTTTTTAATTGAATGGAGAGCTTTGGAGCTTCAGTTTCAAAGCATTTGGATTTCCTGGAAGCACAGGTTCAGCACTTACCAGGGTCAGCCCATCCTTCCAAGGAAGATAAATCGAGTCCCACGCAGTGGTGCTGTGCCAGGGCCCCTTGAATGAGACACTGGTAAATCCCAGAGTCCCATCTGCTTTTCAAGGGCACTACAAATTCAATGAGACACCTTCCTGAAGAGCTAGGTGGTGCTCCAGTATATATGACCTGGTGGCACATTTACTTATCCCATCACCTGCCTCCTACCCCGGAAGTGGCTGCATTTGGGTGGCACATTGTAAAAGGGGTGTATAAAACGTTGATCCCAATAAAATCCTGATGAGACCTTCAATAAGGTAGATACTATTGTTCTGGAAAGAAAGTCTGCCGCTTTCCCAAATCCAAGTCAGTTGAAACAAAGCATTTCCTTTCTGCACTCCCCCACCTTTGCTGCCTTTTAATAATTGTCTGACTGACCAAGAGGTCATAGCTCTGCCTGCTGGGCGTTTTCTCCTTGCAAGATGATACCATCAAGGTGTTGCCTACAGTTCCCTGGAGGCAGAGGTTTCCTGACGGGGTTGCCTTTCCTTGTGTTCCTTCATCTCCCAGGCATCTGGGAAATGGTGTCACTGAACTCTGCAATGAGACAATAGTTCATTCAACAATGACTGCAAAAGCTATCACAGTGCATTGTTCTCCTGCGCTGGCTGCCCTGAGAGATTTGGCAAAAACAAATCACATAGACACAAGGAACTTTTCCAGCTGGAGTCAAGTTCTGCTTGATGAACTCTTCCTCTGCATAAATTTTTAAGAAAAATTGCTGCCTTGTGAGCTTCAGATCTGGCTGTAGACCCATTGGTACCCAAAATCCCTGAATCTGAATTGAGACTGGCCAAGCAAACCAGGCTGTTGGAGAGGATCTCTAATGGCTAACCCTCCAATATATGGAGTGCACTAGACCGCTCAGTGGGATGCATTTTGATACGTAAAGTATAGTATTTCCCTCTTATGCAGATGGAGCACAGTTTTGCTTTTGAGGGGGGAGGGTATTAAAGATTAAAACACTCAGGGTTAGGCCTGTTCACAGGGGAAGTGTGTCATCGCTCAGTTTGGAGAGACCCAAGTTCCCAGGCTGCTGGTTGGCCAAGAAACCAGGCCACCAAAGTAGCCCTCCTAATGTCTGGAAGCAAGGGCCGGTTTCACCGCTTGGCAGCAGCTCCTGTTTTGCGCTTGCTTCTTTGAGCAGCTCTGCCCTGTGGTTTGTGAAGAGTAACACTAAGGAAGAGCTCACCTGTGCACCAACCAGCTGAACAGTAACAAGTCAGGAGGGGAAAATTGTTCCCGAGGGATGTGATCAACAAGGGCGGTTTTAATAACGTCTCTGCAGTGCCCCTTCGAGCTAAGAACCACGTGTCCCTGGGACCGACTCCAACGAGGCATCAGAGTTTTATGAGTAGCTACTTGTTTAGAAGCAACTTGAAATGCATTGTTTTGCAGCTAGCATTTCTTATCCCATATTCATAGTCTGTTCTGTGCTTTCTTTCTCTGTTTCTTCTTTCTTTTGCTTTCTCTTTCTCCTACTCAGCAGGCCTCCTATGCTGCCTCTTCTTTCCCTTCTGTCTCCTACTGTGTCCAGCAAACTAAAGTGCCCTTCCTGCCCGAGGACATCAGTGCCACTCAGGGCCTCAGTATGTCAGTCTCTAACTCCTTTCTCAACCGGCACAGCTCCTTTCCTGTGCATTCGGTGAGTCACTAACTGCACGTCTTTACACGTGTGCGTGCGTGCGCGTGTTGTGTTAGTGAAATGCTCTTGCACGTGTTCTATGATCAGTCTCCCAATTCCAGGTAAATTCAGAAGTTCATGACTGCTTTTAAAAGCTTTTACTAGTAATAAGGACAATTGGGACAGGGAGAGGTTGGGTAGGCGGAGGCTGGTTTGGACCTTGCGACATGCCCTGGGATGGGGAAGTTAGTCTTTATGGGTATCTTGTGTGTATTTATGATAGGGGCAAGGGAAGAAAGCAGGAAACCAGGCCTGTATACCAAAGGCAAACTCCTTCATCTGCGTTGCCCCAAGGCACTGGTTCTGTGAAGTACTCTCACTCGTAATGGCAGTGACAAGGACTAGTCAGTTAAATACTGCTTTGTGCATCTAGCTTTGGAGAGATAATGAGGGACTGTCCCTTCCTTCAGTGCAGGGATCCATTCAAGCGCATGAAACAGCTTCTGCAGTTAAAGTTATACACAAAGAGCCAGTGGCAAACGTTTGAGGTGCAGCTTTGCATTTTAGCTCCAGCACCGCTTATAGTTTGGTATCGGAGCACAGCTATAAATCCAGATCTCGGCAGGTTAAAAAGCATTTCAGTTTACTTTTCAAATGAAGCTGCTTGTAGTTATAAAGCTACACTTGGGGGGTGTTTAATGATTTAGTATAACCAAAGTTTCTTTTACTCTAGAAAGCATTTTAGTTGATCTTAAATGGATGGTACAAGCATGATTTCATTTTAAATTGTCAGTTTTCTTTTTTTAATTGTGTTTTGGACTCCTTTTAAAAATGCACTGTTTGTTTGTGTGTTTCCTGTTGCCCTGTTTTTTGGGGGTTTTTTCTTTCCAGCAACAGAAAAACACTTGGACAGAGCTTGGGAAACCAGTAGAACCGGCTGTACTCAATGCACCATCAAATGTACAAAGTAAACAAGCAGGAAAAAAATAGCCCTTTCTCTCCCTAATAACTTTGAATTATAGTAATTTCTGTTATTGTCTGTGACTGTAAAAGCTCCATCATTTTCAGGCAAAAATGTGGTTTTCCCATTGTCCATGTCTCTTTGTTTATGACACACAGAATGTCAGTGGCCCTACATGTTTCACAGCTGACCCACCTGCCTATCAGGAGTGGTCTAGCCCCTTGTTCCTGCCCCTAATGCACTGCTTCTCAACCAGGGTGCTGTGAGATCCTGTTAAGGATGCCTCAGGGTGTCGTACAGGCTTAGGTGTGCAAACCCCTGTCCAGGATTCACAAGATAAGCTCAGAGATTTCAAATGGGAGTCTGCAGTATCAATAACTTTCTGGCCCGTTGTGGCCTTTCTGAGTTGTTTGCAACAGACAAATTGCTGCATTATTTTTCTGTAGTCAGGAAATAAGTGAGAATTAAGAGCTGGTATTTTTCCCAAGGGTGCCTTGAGTCTATCAAGGGGTGCCTTGAATCTTGCGAGGTTGAGAACTACTGCCGTAATATAAGGTACAGAACAACTGCAGAGAATTAAATCATACATAACCAGGTTAAGACCCTTCATTTGGGGATTAGGATGGGCTAGAATCTTTCTGTTAATATCTTTCTGAACATTAGCTAGAGAGAGAGAGAGAGAGAAATCTCTGTTGCCTGTGAGGAGGTTACTGTGTATTACTGCTTGTGGAAATCTGTGAACTGCAGATACTGGATTTAAGTGAATTGCCACATTCTGCTCTCAAATGCTGTGTTACCATCTTTGTCCCTTCTCTTTGTAGTCACAAGTCCACTTAGATAAATGCTTGGAAAAACAATAAACCTGTTAAAGGATTAAGCCTTGGCTGCCCACCAAATCCTAGAGGGATTTGATGCTCGGGACAGCTAACCTTTCACACAGAAGCCACCAAAGGAATAGGCCTGCTTAGGACAAAATGATCAATACTGATTATCCTGTCTCTTAAAATGAAACATTAATCTTTATCCATTCTATACATGAAGCAAAGCATCCTTCAATCAATACTGGGAAGTCAAATGTAATAATAATAAAAAAAAATGAAATGGCTATCCATTAAGAGCATGTGAGCAATTCATCACAGAGACTCTGTGCTCACATTAGCCTTGAAAGTTGCCTTGCTTAGCAGTTTCTCTCTTCATGTGAATGTGGGTAGGAAAGGCAGTGGGATGGAGTCCAAAAGGTAATGTTCGTTCGTGTACCAGTTTGTAAGGTTTTGGTGCAGACAGCAAAGATGGGTGAGCAAGCCATCTATTACCCTTGGAGTTTGAAGTCAGCTACATCTACCGTTCATGCTTCTTGGAGCTCCAGATGAGGGATTTGCTCTTGAACCAGCCATTCTTTACTCAGACCCTGGCCCTCTATCAACTTCTGAAGAGGGCTGCTTTTCAGTCTGCATGTCTTGAATTTCTGGCATTACCACTCTCTTGGTCTGATTCTCCCTATTCCAATCTCCTGGGGGGGATTGGAGGCAGGGGATATTTTTTGCAGTGGGCTCTTCTTTTCAAAAAGTCTGGAAAATAGGATTTGCATTTTTATTAGGAGTGTACCGATAAAGATTTTTTTGAGCTGATACTGATGGCCAATTATTAACAAGCCATAGCGGCCGATACCAATCCAATTGCTGGTATGCAGTCCACCCCATAGCCACTGCTGCCTGGCCTGAGTGCAGCCCTGGCGCAGCCCCCACAGCCAGGAGGAGCCCGGCGCTGCCTGCAGCCCGGCCTCGCCCTGCACACAGATCCGGTGGCATACTCCCTCCATGCCTCCCCCGGGGGCGTGCACAGGGGTGGGAGATGCACCCTCCCCCCCGCATCCCCCAGCTGGCTCTGTCCTGTGCCCACTCTGCCCCACCTGGGCAGCACCTGCCCCTGCTCCAGCCCCACTCCCTCCCTCACCGTGATGGGCCTTGATCTGCCCCTTCCCCACGACAGACTTACCAGTTGGATGCTGCTCTCCAAGCTGCTGGGCTGGCCGCATGCATGCTGCAGTTGTGCACATGCACGTGGCATTTATCGGCGACATTATCAGCCACATCAGCCAAAAAAAAGCCAATTGCTGATAACGTCAATTTTCCTTTTATCAGTGCCAATGCGATATGGACCAGTGTATCGGTGTACCTCTAATTTTTATTCCATCTTGGACAGACCAGTGTCCCAGGCATGCAAGTGGAGGCCTGGTAACATCATGGAGTTATAGGTTCTGCTTGTGTTTTTCCCAGGAATTGCTATGTAATGCAAAAGACTGCTTGCCTACAACACAATAGTACAAGAGTGCTGAAAAAGAGTGGAACTGAGTATAAGAAGTGAGATTCCGAAGTAGCAGATTAGGCAAAAAGTGTAAGAGCCCATGAATGACCCAGTGTCTAGACTAAGTCCTTAGGAGGGTGAAGGCAATGGTGGCTGAAGCCTGGAGATAAGGTACAGCTCTATTTCTATTTGGAAGCAATGGTGAAGGATGGGTTAGACATCCCTTTGGTTTTTGCTGACACTTTGTTAGTATCTTAGGGAATTTGAAGCTATTTCACCTTTTTCACTCTGGTTTATAAAGTATGTCAGAATATGATGGTTTTCTGCAGGCCTGATTTTTCCATCCCTAGGTTAACCCTGCCCCTGTCCACCCATTAATAATGCTTTCCCCCTGCTTGGCAGGACATTGCATCAGAGGTGATGGCACTTACTGTACAGAAGCAGGTTTTGAGCAGCCGGTTCAGACCTCATAGGTTTGGCAAGTTGAGTCTGTTTTCCACCAATTCTGTTCCAAGCCTGATCTCCCAAGGCAGAGACCCCCTTATGCGGTATGGGATGAGACTGTCAAGGGCAGTTGGACAGTTCCCCATCTTTTGGAGAGTCATATTTGCAAATCTCGTACTCATGGGAGTAGTTTGAAGTGGCATGTGGGGCATGTGTCATTTTAGGGAACCCCACTTCTTATTTTGGAGCTGTTTTCTGTTCAGTGGTAGAGAAGCAAGCATACTCTGTATGAAAATGTTCCTCCTTGTTAACTGTCAGCAGAAGTCTTCCTTTCTCCTGTTGTTCATCCTCTTCCACTTTTACTGTGGAGGTAGATATTATTCTGGTTTCATCATCTCTTTGTTCATTTGCCTCTGGAAGGGGATGAACTAGGAACATGAATGTCAGGCTTTGAACCTGGTAACTGGGCCACAGGAGAATTGTGTAGATGTAGTCATGGTGAACATATAAAAAAAATCAATAGAGACAAGGTATGCCCTTTCTGTCAGTGTGTTTTCGATTTGAGCAAAGTAGGAAGACTTGAAACGCATCCAGTTACTGGTAGGTATCTATTCCCTGCACAAATATCTGGTTGCAAATGCAATCATTTAAAGCAGGCATGTACAGACATCTCCTGGAAAGCTGGCAGCTTCCTTCACTATGGAAAAATGGTGCACTGTAACTTTTTTTTTTCTTTAAGTGAAAAAGATGGCAAGCATCTTTCCAGAAACTGAATTGGCTGCTTGACTGCTATAGAAGGTGGAAAGAGTTTCCCTATGGAAACGCTCCCATTCAGTATTTCAGTTATTCCTTGTTGTCAGAGCTCCAGGGTGAATTGAGCAAGTGCATGGAAAGTTTGCGGCAACCGGTTTTCCTCTTCTCTTTTGTGTTTGTGCGTGCTCAGGAAAAGGAAGGGGAGGCAGCCTTGTTCAGCGGCAGGGCTGGTGCTTTGTACATGCTGGCCGCACAGCTCTCTCCTGATCCGCAGCCCCCCTTGCAACTTCAGTCCAGAGCAGAGCTGCAAGTTGTGTAAAATGTGTGAAATTTCAGTCATGAAAGCCGCTCCCTGCTGGAGGCAAGCATGAGATCACAGGATTTTGTTTGATTATAAACCAGACCGGACCCATTCAGAAGATTTAAATCTGTGTAATTAGTTGTTGAGCTCCAAGCATTGTTTCTTTGTTGTTTCCTTCTGCGGCTAAGTTTATTTCCATTACCCGTAGCAGGCCTGAATGGGGATACCAGTAGGGTTGTGATCTTCCAGCACTGCTGA